ATTTGGATTCTTTTCAGCCCAGCTTCAATTTTTTAAAAGAAACAGTAATGATCACTGAGGAGAGAGGAAGGAGGTGAAAGCTTTGAAAACCAGAGTGGATGGTGGAAGAGGAAGAAGATGGTGGAATTGCTTTGAGCTGTAACTCCATGTATTTCTTATGAAACAGTTTTCAGTTTTTCTGTTAGAACCACCAAACAAAAACTGAACTGAAATGTTTATTTCAGACCCCTGCTGACTGCAGTTCCCAGAAGTCCAACTATGGTGCAGTCTTTCTGCCACCTTAAGTTAACAAGACATAAGTCACTATAAGAAAACAGGAATTCCTTTTTTTGTTTCTAAACTCCTGTCCTTCTCCATCTTACTCACTTTCACCCAAGCAAATCACAAGCTTTTATCAGATACAAGGGCAGTGATTTGGAGAAAAAGTGTTTAGTTCAGATAGCAGTGCTTATATGCAGAAACCCAACAATTTAAAATTATGTTTGTGACCTAATTTTTAAATATTAAAGTCAGCAGTTATGTACTAAAGGTATACAAAAATTTTTGGAAGGGAATAAACTAAATCTTGGCACCTAAAATGTAAAGCATCAGTACTGCTGTAGCAAGCGGTTAGGCATGATAATCTAGGATAAGAGACATATGGCTGCAGCTTCTCCAGCACTGCTCACTTGTGCCTTTTTGGCAGAAGAAAACTTCCATCTACCAAGTTCTACCACTGGTAATACTAGTACTGGTGTTTGTGAGAAGTGCCAGAAATAAATAAAGCCTCTTTTGCAGACTCATTTTAAACTGCCCAGCTGCAGATTTATACAGAAGGGTTTTTTCCCCCACATGTTAAGAAAGCAAACCAATGGTTTTATGAAGATTGGAAGTAACGTAATTTAACAAAATATTATGGAAAATATCAACTGTATCTATAAAGAATCCTATAAAATGTTGTGAACACACTTGTGACTGATCCTCTGCAGCTGTGAAGAGGATGTGGGGGGGAGAATGCAGGAAAGGACTCTGCAATCCCCAGCTGTGGCCCAGACTGAACAGCCCCAACTCCCTCAGCCTGTCCTCACAGGAGAGGTGCTCCAGCCCTCGGATCAGCTTTGTGGCTCTCCTCTGGACCTGCACCAACAGGTCCATGTCCCTCCTGTGTTGAGGGCTCCAGAGCTGGCACTCTCTCTCATACTGGCAGCATTCTCAAGGTCCACTTGCACTGTGTATTTTCCTTGTGAATTGCCCCATGGAGACTTACAGTGCCACATACCTACATCCTCACACACCTGACACTCCTAAAGACAAGGCCAGCCTTCCAAAAACTGCCTAGTGCTCTGCAGTCCCAGGTGCCTGTGGCTAAAAGTCATCTGTAGGAGTTGCAATATATGATGAATGCATTAAAAAAACAAAAAAAACCCAAAAAAAAACCAACCCAAAACTAAAAAGCAAAGAAATTTAAGTACTACCTCTTCAGGGATGGTCAGGTCAATAAAAAGAGCTCTTGCAGTGCCACCTCGTGGTTAAGTTCTCTCAGCTAACAACCATTTCATTTACCTTCAGAAGTCCCTTCAGAAAATTCTGAGCAAGAACTAACAGTAGTAGGTTTTATACATACGTACTTATAAAAGTAACCCTACACTTTAGAGGCCCCTCTGTAGTGGGTTATTGTTAATAGAACAGTGTATAACTCATAATGGGAGACTTTCTCACTCCCAGAAGCACTTCAGTAGCAGCTGGTTAGCTTATATAATTTTTTACTTTGGGAATTTAATGAGACAATCACATGCTTTGGACTGCACTTTTTTACTTGGAAAAACCCTACAATGAGAGCAGCAGAAATTCATAATTAATTTAGACTAAAATGAAAACAGCCTGACATTTTACTTAAATTAGAAACCAGTAAGTTGGAAAAAGTCCAATGACATTTACTGTACCATAATTATGTCAAAAAGACTTCTGAAATTTTAAGATGAAATATGATGTTATCTTCTAATGTTTTAAAAATCTGACAAAAGAGTAAATTGCCACCATCCTTTGCACTGTAATTCATGCCTTTCTTTAAATTTTAGACTGGAAATACTAATTTCTCTTAGAGATACTCACAAACATTGACTTACTTATACAGGACAGGTCTATCCTGTAAGGCTTCCATGGCTTGTGCAAGAACTGGAGAAATGTCACATGATTCTTGTGTCAAAGTCCTGCATTCATCTATAAAATACCAACACAGATAAAAGTGCATTTTTTACTCTGTAATGCCTTTTATAATAAGAAAAATAGTTAAAAACTCAAAGCCTTTTGATTTTGAATTGAAGCCTTCAGAACATGCTACCTGACCTAGTTCATTAGTGTAATTAAATTCCTCTCTAAGTAGTAATTCTCTGTAAAATGGATGTCTGTCACAAATCTCAAGAATAATAAATATTAAAGGAAGATTAGTATCTATCTGCACTCATGTAAAAATGATCAGTCTGAACAACCAGAATTCTGTCAGGCTCCTTTGTAACTCTACAACATTCCAGGTAAACAACTAAGGAAAAAGAGAGCAAATATTTAAGAAAGTTGTAGATTTGGTTTGTTGGTTGGTTGGTGGGGTTGTTTTCACTTTAATCACATTAACTATATCAACTTATATAGGTCATGCAAGAACATGAAAATCATACAAACTAAATCAAACACTGGCCTAAAAATAATGAATTTTCATTAGGGTGAAGCTACAGCCATCATGTGAGGCTTTAGCATCCACTGAAATATAGCATCCCACTGCACCAGCTTTTCTTCACAAATCTTCCTGTCCATGTCTTAGGAGAAGACAGAAATAATAAAAAAGCATCTACATTTTACACTATCAAGATGTTACACTGCACACTAATACTTGGATCCAGAGCACATAAGCAAAAAATAATCACATACAATCATTCAAAAGGGCACCCTGAAAAAATAGGGTGGTGGGGTTTTTTCTCTTTTTTAAAGGTAATATGCCACTCCTCTGCTAACCTACATCTTACTACCAAATTGTCAAAACCAACAACTTTCCTGTAAACTGCAGGGAAATGAAATGCAATACACTTAACAATTGCTTAGACTAGCAAACTGTAGTTGTTCTCTGTGGAAAACCATCTAAAAATGCAAACAAAGAATACATTTTTATAACAGAGATGAGACTGGCTCAAAAACCCAAGAAAATTTCCAATTAACTATTTAGTTCATGACAAATCTTTTACTAAGAAGGAAACCCAAAACCTTGTTAATGAATCTTGGAAAGGGTTTTTGCTGAGTTCAATCCACATCAGGGAATTAAAAGAATCATAATAAAATTCAAAACCATAAAAACATTCTTAATCTTACTTTGAGTCCATCTGTAAAGTCGTTCATAAGATGTCTCTTGCAGCAAGGCCATCTGCTCCATAATTTCCAAGCTAAAAGACAAAAAGATCTTATTTGCACATATTATTTTAGGTAGTACTGGCAAAGGCATGTACAAATCAAGCAAAACACACCATTATTAAACCCATGAAAATTAAAAAACTTAGTGTTCTTTGTTTTTTTTCTGAACTCCTCTGTGTACTCATAGGAAGTAAAGAATGAGACCTTGCTGTAACTTCTGGTTTTAACTAGTAGATGTTGGTTATCTTGCACTCCTTTAAGTAGCACTCACCCTGCCCTTTGCTGATTTGTCCTGAGGAGAATCTTGACATCATCATGAATTTGCTTTACTCTTCCCAAAGCCTTGAAAAAATCCTAGATCATTAGAAAAAAAAAAAAAAAGGCAAAAAAAAAAGCAGTGTTTAAAAGCACTATCTTATTCAAATTTATATCCCTCTCCTTTTCAATTCCATACTTAAGTTCCTTGCACATTCCAAGTGCTGCTTCTAAAATACAAGCCCCCCTCTGCCACCCCTCACCTTTCATTCCACCTTATAAGAACCTTAGATTTTTTTTCTTTCCCATTACATCATGTCTTTCATAAAAAAACCCCAAAAGTAATAGCAGCAAAGATGTGGGTTTCACCCATCTTTTATGTAGCATGTGTATGTTTTACAGTTATTAACTAACACTATGGGAAGCTTTTGAGGATGTTACTTTGTATTCCATCATCTTCTCACCATTAACATTAGCAACTAAAGAGCAAACATTACAAAATACAATGACTATAAAAATTGATACTTTTTCTTTTCATATAATGGGGTAACAATTTCTAAGAAAAATCAAACATGTGTAACAGACTAGACCAAAGTTTTCCAGGACCACGTTTCCCTTCTGGATAACTCAGCAGCAACAGTGAAGCAAAACAAACCCTAGAAGAGGGATATATGGCCAAAAAGGTCATTTTGTAACTGTTTCAGAGAGCAAATGGAAATCCACTAACATGTCTTACTACCAAGGCATCTTTCAAATATCACAGAGGAGACTACATAATTCAGATGTCTGTTATATCTTTTGTGACTTGAATACAGTTTGCTTTAGGAAAGTAGAGCTTCATTCTGGCTCAATTCACACAAAACATACATATTCTAAGTGAATTAGGACACTGAATTAACCTATGGCCTTGCATCCACTGTGCTGACAATCCAAAAAACCCAAATCACTCTTCCTTCAGGGCAACAAAATAAATAAATTGCCAAAACAGAATCTGACTAAAAATGTTTTAGCCACACTGGTTGACTCCATCATAGGGCAAAAGTACAAACATGATTTTACTAAGTCTGACATTTCAGTAGTATAATTAGGATTATATCTCAGTTACCTCTGCACATTTTTTAGACAGACCAAAGTATAAAAAGGACTAATCCTTGTTCTGCTGCAAACCAAGCACTGGATGAATGTCACAGTGCTGGTGTCATTGCTCCCTGCACCATGTGCTTTTTTGAAGCCTCAATGTTATTTCATGGTAATAGTTGGTACAAAAGCACACAGCAATTACTCAAGGGCACAATCATTTAACACATTCCATTTATGCTTTCATTAGCACTGTTTATGGTTATCTGTTCCATGCCTCTAATAATGCTTTAACTACAAAGAGGATGCCTGTGGAAAGGAGATAGTATGTCTCAGCAGGTTGCCTACAGTTAAGTGAAGGTTTCTATTCAACTAAAATAACAAAAATCTATTAAGTGTACTCAGTCCTCTCATTATTCAGTTTGCTTTTACTGCAGAACAATGTGCCTCCTTATTCAAACAGTAAATGTATTCAAAAACTTGTTTGGGAAGGTGGTTAAAAGTGAATCAGCACCTAGTTATCTTCATGAACCAAATAATGAGGAAAAACCTAAGCTTTAGTTTCAAGTCACTGACTACCTGTACCCATGCCTATGCAAAACATATGCACATGAGTAGTAGTACATATTACTGAAGTGCTCAAAATGTCTTATTTGCTTCATTTATGTGATGTTTTAAAACACTTTCACTGACAATTCACTCTTCACAAAGGTCTTTTTGAAGTGTAGAACCACACAACAGCTCACGTGCCCCTCAAACACCTCATGCAAACTAGAATTTCTTAATGATTTTCCTTCTTGTTACTTGAATCTTTCACCACACGTTTCAAAATCATCAGAAATTCACCATTTTGTTAAAAGGTACATTCCTGCATAAAAACTGAAATTACAAACTGACAGGAAGATCTCGTGTACAGAGATCTGCTAGAACACTTCCCCATTTTGGTTCAGGGCAAAGCTTTTAGTGTTGCTTGAGCTACCTCAGTGATTGGTTCCTCTTTCGTGCCTCGAAGGATGTTCATTTCATCTGCTGTCAGCTGGAATTTTGCTATGAAGGCATCTGCAACTTGTGCTTTCATTTCTAGTCTCTGGCTGCAATAAAACAGAGTGAAAAGGACATCAGCTTTTTAGCCTTACCAGATTTATTTTCCATATTCATAACTTTGGAAATGTAATTAGCATTAGAAATCAGTGTTATTAAATTCTGATAGTACATTCTTGTTGCATCTTCACATGCAATAATTATTAAACTTATACAGATTACTGAGTAAAGACAACATAAAGGTAAGTCACCACATTTGAAAACCATGTTCTTTTAAAAAAATGCTTTTAAATAGTTGAAAATTACCTAACCCAGGCACTCTGTGCTTGTACAGCTGTAATGCCTACAGTTGTTTCTTTTCAAATTCATCAAGGAAAGAATGAGGTTTCAGCTCCTCTTTTTACAGAGGACAAAAAAAGCTGCAGTGCCCAAAACAAGGAAATGATCATGATCTGAATCTCCTTTTCTGTAGAACAGATCTATTTCTTTTCAACAACACACAATTGGCCTAAAAATTCACTAATCTCCAAGCACTCAAGAGGTAATGGCTAATTCTCTTGTTGCTCACTCTCCCTGAACACAGCAGAAATTTAAACACAAACGCCACCTTCTGGGCAGCACCTTTGTACATGGGTTTTGTCACACACCTTAGGGCCACAGAAGGACCCAAATGCATCCAGTTTTATTCCACAGGAAGGGACTCCAACTCCAGTAGCAACAGAATATCTGCTAACACTGTGGTTTGAGCACACCAGGAAATACAGACCATCTTCTTAAGGACATTGAGAAGACACTAATTAATTATTTGTACAAGAGTAAGGCTCAATTACTTTAAAACCATTTCAGCTTCCAATGTAATTATTTCAGGATAAACACACTGTTATTATAGAGTGTCAAGACAGGCAAACACATTCTCAATACTGACTCCAATCATTAAATTTCCTTGAAAGATCAAGGCTTGCAAAGTAAGCTTTTATTTATTTACCCCTTCTCTACTATCCATCTAGTGGCCAGACTTCATTCAGCTGAAGTACAGAAAACTGGCTTCCCTTCTGTAGACACAGATGATCTTCCCACCCTGCAGTTCCACAAACTCCTTCAGAGATCAGATTAGATGTTTTGCAATTGTCAGTGCTGTAGCATAGTGAACAGTAAGATGGCAGGGAACCCCTTCTCAACTATCCATCTAGTGTCCAGACTTCTTTCAGCTGAAGAAGTACAGAAAACTGGCTTCCCTTCTGTAGACACAGATGACCTTCCCACCCTGCAGTCCCACAAACTCCTTCAGAGATCAGATTAGATGTTTTGCAATTGTCAGTGCTGTAGCATAGTGAACAGTAAGATGGCAGGGAACATAAAATCTAACAGTGTTTTAACAGTAAAACTTATAAAAATCAAAGGGAAGGCAACCCAGTACTTGTAAGTGACACAGGAGACACCTGAACAAAACTAAAACCCCAAACCTCACATGCTTTAGTACCACATCTTTAACTGATGTAAGGTTTCCCCAGACTCCCAAGCAGATGTGGCTAGCTTGCTTTTACATTGACAGTTTTGCAACCATTACATTACATTTGTCTACTTAATTTTCTCTAAGTAAACTCTACAATTCCAAATTCAGGATCTCAGTGAAGCCAAGTGTTTCTCAGGGAAGAAACAAGAGTGATGAAGGATGATTTTGGACAGCTAAACTGGCCATGACAGCTGATGCACCCATGAAAAATTATAGCACTTTCCAAGCAATCTGGTGGCAGCTGACTGCAAGTAAGGAAGAAAAGGTAAGAAGTCTAAAAAGTGAGGGCTCAAGAGTGTGTAAACAGCTTGGAAACAACAAAATGCAGGTATAAAAAGAAAGGAAAGATTTCTGGAAGAAAGGAAAGAAACTGAGAAGTATCATGATGGTTTGGTAAGAAGGTAGAGTCAAGTTTTCTAGCAGGTGACATGGGGCATAGGGAGAGAGAGATGTAGAAATGGAAAGAACCAAAAGACTCCGGGGGTGGAAAGAGGAGATGTGAGGGCATGGGCCTGAAGGGACTGAAGTTGCTCCATCTTTTCTTCAAATAGAACCATAGAATCCTTTAGGTTGGAAGGGACCTCCAAGATCATCAAGTCCAACCATTGAGCCATTAGGGCTCTAAAGTCCTCTGCTAAAACAGATCAGAATCTGTCAGGGTTGGAAGGGACCCCAAGGATCCCCCAGTTCCAACCCCTCTGCCATGAGCAGGGACATTTTTTATTTATATTGGTGTGAGGACATGGAAGACTATCTTCAAACCTGAACAGACCTAGCACTGTTTCCAGCCCCACTGATACACTCTTCTGACACAGAAGGTGTGCTAGACCTCAACACAGTGGAAGAAGAAAGGAAGAACAGAAGAACACAAGTTGTTAACATTCAGTATATCTTCATCAGGGATATGAGGCAATAAAAATGTGAAGAGAGGGACCCATAGTGTAGCTTCAGCTGGGGAACGAGGGAAAAAATACCAAAAGAAGTTTTCTACAAAACATACTCACAAGATTTGACAGGAGTGTGGGGTACTGAGCTATGTGTAGGTACAACCCCTGCTCTTAGGACTGTGCCAGCACAGGCAGCTGCCCTAGGCAATGGGGCAGTGACTCCTTAGCTCACTGCTACTATGAAACTACTCGTGAAAACTCCACTTCAGAACTTCTCTGGGGTATAAAAAGAGGTCATTTCAATAGTCAGTTAAAACAAATAATATTTTTTTATTAGGACCCTCACCTCTCTACCTCCAAAAAACCCCTAGAGGCATAAGACATAGCTAATCAAATTGAAAATTGGGCAAGGACACTTAAAATTTCACCCAGTGATGGTGCTTTCAACACCATACTCCTCTTTCACACCATTGTGCTGAGGAAGCCTAATCCATCAACGTCACCATCACTGGATTGGGTTGAAACAACACACAATGCAATTTAGTGAATTAACTTTATTTAATAGTTGCTCCAAGTCTCTCCTCTTGTGATGGAAATCTCCATTTAATATGAAACCACAAAGCTGAAAACACTTGCACTGGATTATCCCTCCCTTTAGGGAAAAGAAGGAGGGTAGGGAAGAGACTAGAGAAAGCAAATGCAAGATCTTTGTTTTCAACTGAAATGATCTCCCACAAACACAGGAGGAGATGGAATTTTAAGAAACTTTTCTGGTCTTTGAACCTGTCTATCACCTGAGTGCATAAATTTTTAAGTGCTCTTACAGAAAATCTGTTTGCTATTATACCCTGCTCTTACTGGAGGCATGGGGAAGTCTGATTTTAAGAAGTGCAATGTACTGGGCATAACTTTTTTATTCAGTTTGCTCTGCAGCTTTGTTGGAATTAGGGTTGTAGACCAGATTCAGGAACTGTACAAACAGCAGGCTCATTAGTCCACGCTGGAATCCCATGGCCACTTCATCCCTAGAGTTAGAAGGATGAACAAATGGCAGAAGATGCCACAGTCTCCACCTGTAACTCCTCACCCTGCACAGTCTTCCCTCTTGATTTTTTGCTGCTACAGAGAACAAGGTTCAAACATTGTGCTTTGAAACCATTCCCACCCTTGGCTGTGTCTTTGGCTAACACCCACCACAACTGCTCGCTGACTCACTCTATGCACTCCCAATAATTAACTTTTATAAAATAGAGTCAATATATTAAACTCTAGCATACTGCCAAGTTTCACAATGTAGACACAAGATAACAACCTCAAGGTGGCAGCAACGTTTCACCTTCCTCAAGACAGTGACCAGAGTGGTGAGAAACATCTAGGACTGAATTTTGATAGATGTTTCTTTTGAGCTCTTTACAAAGGATATGAGATTTAGCTGCTCAGTTTTAAAACCCAGGTTAGCCACCTCTGCTTATGTTAGGTATGAAAGTTGCCTTGATTATCAATGTGCATGAGAAAGAGACCCTATATCCTAGATGATGGACTGGGAGCAAAGCATCTAAGTGCCATGTACCCCTGACTTCTACCTGGCACTATACAGTAGCAATGAGACCAATACATTTGCAGAGGTATGTAATTTTATAAATATATTTTTTTCATATATATATACACACTCGTATGCATTTTTCTCCAGACATAAGCTAACAAATATTTAATTAGAATTTAATCAAGCTTGTTAAAGCAAAGAAATGGATCAAAGTATCAGTCAATTTGCTATAGTTATTTCACTGCTGTAAGTGTAGGACAGCAGAGGAAAGGTCACACTGTGGTGCTATCCCAAATTGTGGGGTGTTTTTCTTTTACCCAAGTTATCCCTGCATAAAGGAACAAAAGTATTAGCTCCTGGGAACACCACACTGATGTGAAGGGGGAAGTGCCAAGTGCTGGTAGCCTCTGGAGCTTTGGAGGGGAACAGGACTCCAACAAAGAGCAATTTCCCCAGTTTTAATCGTCGCCTGGGAGACAGAATTCTTTTGCAAGAGAACTCAAAAGGCTGGGAAAACTATGCACTTCATGCACTTTTCCCTTGAATCAAATACAAATGTGCACTGTTTGTTAGGATTATCACCTAGACAGCTCAAAAAATGAGGTGGAGGAGAAACAGGCTTTTTCAAAGTTTGATTTTGTCTGGCCATCAAATACAGGATAAAAATCTTCTAGGTTCCTTTGCCTAGGATGAGTCACAGCAGCACACTCTGAAATTACTCTGAATTTGTGGTACTGAGGAGTCAACATAGTTTTTAAAGCCTAAGAAAGATTAAGTACTTTTAACTCATAAAGAAATAACCACCTTTAACAGACATATAGAAATGCTTTTCAGCAGCAGCTGTAAAAGAATGTTTCACTGTGATGGGCTTTTGGGGAAAGAAAATACACAAGACTACATAACAAAACATCTACACATGAGTCTTAGGAAACCATTCTTTAAAATAAGTACCAAGTGCAAAAATGCATTTGTAAATGCTGAGAACATGGGGGTTTATTCTAAATATTGCCTGTCACACAGATTTTTTATTAAAGGAGGACTGAAATACTGTGAGAAGGTGTTCATTGACCAATTCCACCACAGAATATAATTATGAGACTTTCTCCT